CCAATGGGCGGCAGTTTCGGGCCTACCAGGATGCGTCGAATCAGTTGTTGGATGCCGGTAAAGTGGCTGGTAGTGAACTTGTGGCTACCGGGGCAGACAGGGCAGAGACAGCCGTCGGTGCGGTAGTCGAGCAATGTGAACATGTACGTATTCGTTGCAATCATAGCACAGAGCCGGATTGGTGTAGACTCGAAGCAGCGATTGAAGCTGTCGTGTCTGGCTGTGTCTCGGTTTGAGGTCGGTGGTTTACCCATAACCAGTTGGTAGTAGTATTGGCGCCGGGCCATTGCCGCAATCTCCTTGTTGGACCAACGTTTTGTTGAGTTCTTCCTGTTGTCGTCACAGCGTTGGCGGAGGGCTACATGGTCAGGTGTACGCCCGCCCGTGGTTTTGTGTACAGTTTTCAGGTGAGCATAGATACTGTACGTGAAGCGCAGTGATGGTTTATCGTGGGCCCAGGCGGGTTGCACAGAGGGGTAAGTGGATTTGTGCTGGCCATTGAGTCGAGTTGTATTCCCAGGCAACCTCCGAGGTAGTCCGCGAATGGTCGCGCGGGGAGCAGGCCTCAAAAGTGAAGTAAGTTTTTTTTTTGATGTTTGGGAAACCGAGGGCATTTAGTGCCCGTGATGATGGCTGCTGCTTGGATGAGTGCTGAGTTAAAGCGCTCGAATAGGGGGTCCAACGCATCCTTCCATATAGGCGGAGCCCAGGCAATAATGTTCAGCCCATATGTAGCCGTGGATAGGATGAATGTTTGAACATCACCAGTCGGTTGCGGGGGTGTCGCCAGCTAAAGCCATGGAATCCATAAGCGCGGAAAGAGGCGATACCCAGTGACAATGCTGCAACCAGGGATTCCATATGTCTAGCGAGGTTGATTCCTGGTACTCCGCGAGAGAGTGGGAACCCCAGGTATTTGGAGTGTTTCGGTTCGGCATGTGTGGGCGTCAGTTTCAGGGGGAGGTAACGTGTGTTCCAAGGTGCGTCTGGAAGCGTCGGCGTGATAAGCTTGCCATTTATACGGAGGGTTGGCGCCGCGTGTCGCAAGTCGGTAGATCGTACTCGGGGTTTAATGACACCCTGTTCGAGGCCAGATTTGCGTCTCCACGCATCAATGTCATCTAAGAAGGGCTGGAGCGAAACCGATTGAGGGGCTTGGATCCGTGTGTCATCGACAAATAAATAAGAGCGGAGGAGCTTGGGCCGAAATTGTGCTAGCGTGACAGCTAAGGAATCCATGTAGAAAATAAAGAGCTGGGGGCCGACGATTGAGCCTTGTAGGATGCCATTCGTTCTATGGAATAGAGACGAGAGCGTGCCGCGGTATGTCACTCGGGTAGGGACCCTCCCAGACAGCGCGCGGAGGCAGTTGATCCAGTTTTCGGTCATTCCAGCGTGACGCAGAAGTACCCATAGGCGTGGGAGAGCGACCTTGTCGTATGCCTTGGTTATGTCCAGACAGATGTCGTTTCGCTCCTCTTCTGACTGTGTCTCAGGTTCCATGGCGGCAAGTGCTTGGGTATGACAGGAGTGCCGTGATTTGAAGCCAGCTTGGGTAGCATGGGTAGCAGAGCCGGGGTGGCTCGTAATCAGATTAAGAAAGCACTTTTCAAAGATGCGTCTGACTATTTGCGTAACGGCGGAGGAGGTGATATCTGCATCGGCTTTCTTTGGGTGCTCTGTCAGGAGGCTGCAGTTCAGGGCTGCGGGGAAGGTACCCGCCTTGAGTAGCTCAGTGAATGCTTCGGCAAGGAGTCTAATCAGTGGGCTATTGGTGTCGGGGCGTCCTAATGTCCGGCGTTCGGTAGAGCGCTCCACTGCGGCTTTCAGGAAGAGGATGTGGATCCCGTCGGGGCCAGGTCCCTTATTGGGATAGCGTAGTATTGCCTCCAGTACATCGTCGGGGCGTATGATGGAAGTGACATCAGGAGAGGGTTCGGTATGCGGTGGAACCATGTACGGGTTTGTAGAGTTGAATAGGGCCTCAAAGTAGCCAGCGAGGGTAGCGCCTGTGTCATCGGTACCCAG